TGTTCTTTGGCAAGTCGGGGCTTTGACTCTATCTTCGAGACGCAGCAAAGTCGTCTTGATGCTGAAGCCGCACGGTGGTCCAGGTCTACAGCACTCCGGCCAATCAGATCCCAACGACCTACTACAGAATCCTCAGCGGCGTGCTCATGGCTTGCCTGCGTCGTCATTTGCCAGACCTCGTGCCCGAATGTTAGACGTACGCCGGTAATCCTCCTGGAACATTGAACAAGGTCTGACAAAGTCTTCAAAGTCTTGCCGTCTGTCTTCCTTGGTGGGCTTGCTATCCTCTAGGGATAAGCAGACGCCACCATTTGGGTCGGAGATGCCAACACCAGGGCCTTTCCGCTTCTCAACGGGGTGAAGCAGGGCTCCCGCCTCAGCGTCGCTCTCTTCAGCATCGATTTGGGCCTCTGCTACGCCACCTTGAGAGGATCTGGGCCTCGGATACGTGGTCGCCTTTACGGATGACATCGTACTCTTCATAGGAATGATGCTCAGTTTGATCTCGTGCCCCTGATCTTCGAAGAGTTCCGCATGGCCTCCGAAATGGCTATCAACTTCAGCCAGAGCTGCGGGCTCTGGTGCGGTTCCTGGAAGCACTAGTAAGATTTATCTGTGGGAATCTCCTGAATGTCCGAGTCGCTGACTCTTCTGGGCTGCACGATTACTGCCGGGAACATCGTCGCCTCCCAGGCCTCCCACCTGATGGGGCTGCCGGAGCGAGCCATCGCGAGGTGGTCACCCTTCACCCGCGGTCTGTCGCTTGTGGGTCGTGCCGGCCGGCCAACTGCTTGGTCCTGGGATCCATCATGTACCACATCCACGGCTACCTTCCACCTGAAACCACCATCGACCAGCTGCCGGCGCGCTTCGTGTGGGGTACGAGCTGAGTCTCGTGGCTTCCAGGGGGCATCCTGGCTCGCCCAATCTCCGAGAGTTTTGTCGACCTGCTAAACACCGCGGGCCAGCTTCATCTCGCCTGACTGAAGAGGGTCCTGGCCTCACTGCGCGGCGCCGCCAACGGCTACTCTCTGCTGGTCTATATAAATGGTAGTAATTATAGCACTTAAACACTTATTAAATTTTGGTTTTAAAAACATTGTGCAAAAATATAAACCAGTGCTGCCCCCAGGATAAAATTCAGAATTGCTGAAAATTGCTTTCATATACTCTCTGCTGGTCCGCAGCCGTGGCTAACCCCGCCGGTTCCTGATATTTGGCTTTCACCGAGAAGAGACTTCTGAGCCTCTAGGAGGCTCCAATACATTATGATACCTAATACATATGATAGATATAAAAATTGGGTCCAACAATAAGGAAAAGTTGGATAAAAATTATAGCTCTAAGAATATCTACGCAATATAACACTATTTATATTGTAGAGAAATATAACACTTTTTAACACTAATTACTCTATGTATCACTTTTTTGTACTTGGCACGTGAGTGTTATTCCTGCACTCTCATGTTCAGAAATTTTCGATCATACCTTCTAAAGTTTACTCTTTGTGATCACCTGAAAGATTTTATTTTGAATATATTCATTTACGTAAAGTGGATAACAACAACAACAATAATAATAACTTTATTTTTCAAAAAGGTTACAAGTTTTTCTCTAAAAAGTGTAACGAATGGTCAGTCTATTTACAAATTTTTATTTACAACTTCAATAAATAATAACTGTAAAGTAAACAAAGATATTTACATTTGCTATCTTTTGACTCCTGGTCAGTGCTGTGGCCCTCACAGATATGGTCCCCTGATGTCCTGCAGCTCTGCAGCAGTCTTTCTATGACTGGTGGCTCCTCGATAAAATGGTCCCCTGTCCTTGATCCATTCTTGTCTGTCAGGTTTCCTGTCATCTGCTCTAGGTCGTTCTCCTGGATCTCTTCTATGGTCGTCGTATTCCTGTGCTCCATGTCCGGTGTTTCTCGTCTCCACACGCCAGCTCCCTACATCGTTCCATCAATCTATCCATGGCTTCCGTTTCTTTATTTTTCTGGGACTTATCGTGAGGTTGATTCTTTTCTGTTGAAATAATTTCCATACTATTTTTTAGAACCAAGGATTGAATATATGCGAAGTCCCTTTTTATTATGTTTATTTACTTCCTATATTGTTTGTTATATTTTGTTACTATTCCATCCCATGTTAAGACTTTCGGCACTACCTTCCACCTGAAACCACCATCGGCTGACCGGTACTTTGTAACAACAAAGAGAAACATTCTCTCAGTTATAAGTTCAACTAAATATTGATGCTTTTTTTTTTCAAATAAATAAACTGGGGTCAACTTTTAAAATTTATCTGAGACAACATTAACCTTTAAAAACCAAAACTATGCTTTCCATTTTAAAATTAACTATTCGTCAATATCAAATAAAAAAACGACATAGTTCAGATATCTTAAGTTTTAACCGCTATGTTTTCATACAACTAAAGCAATCTCAAAGCTGATTCTCAAAGCTCTTCAAAGCTAATTTGAATCATTTTATCTTTTTCTATGCTATCTCTTACTATATATATGGGTTTTATAATGATTTTTTAAAGAAAGCCTCAGAATAATTTGATATCGAATTGAACGTATAATGTTAATTGAATATATATATTGTCACAGAATAAATAATCTGTTTACTCGGCAAAATCATCATCAACATCACGTCATCATCCTGATGCTAAGTCAGCATTTTATTTGTAAATAGCGTGTAGATATTTCTCGGTGGTTTTGAGCCATATGGAAAATTGAATAAATACTTTCCTTTTAGTATTACAAATTATTTCCTCACAATGAGTTTCTTTTGAGTTGTAATTTTAAAAGTTTTTCACAATTTCATCATGAATAGAGATAAATACTTTCCTTGTGTTGAAATAAATTTGTTTTATGATTACACACACCTCGTTCTGGTCTTACTTATTGATATGGAACCATCGAATACTGACATGAAGCCAAAACCCCAGGACGGTGTAACAATATATAAGACAATCTGAAATAGATTTCACTGATCATGTCCTCCCTGCGGTCACCCCTGGACCCTTGGAATATTCGACCAAATTCTGATTCGTTTCCAAGGTGCATAACGGGGCAACGGCACCCATTTTCCAATGAAGAGCAACTGTCCTGGTGTGGAACTAACACCTACCTACATATTCTCATGCCCAGCAATGGCCGCAGGCTTGCAAAAATTTGACATGGACCCAAAGCAGCAGCTTTACATACCCAAGATAGTGGACATTGCTGCTGCTGTGATAGAGATGCATGGAGACATCTGAGGCTCTTCATTGGACACGACAACAATAACAATACAATATACACACAAAAATAGTGGACATTGCTGCTGCTGTGATAGAGATGCATGTAGACATCTGAGGCTCTTCATTGGACACGACAACAATAACAATACAATATACACACAAAAATAGTGGACATTGCTGCTGCTGTGATAGAGATGCATGGAGACATCTGAGGCTCTTAATTGGACACGACAACAATAACAATACAATATACACACAAAAATAGTGGACATTGCTGCTGCTGTGATAGAGATGCATGGAGACATCTGAGGCTCTTCATTGGACACGACAACAATAACAATACAATATACACACAAAAATAGTGGACATTGCTGCTGCTGTGATAGAGATGCATGGAGACATCTGAGGCTCTTCATTGGACACGACAACAATAACAATACAGTATACACACAAAGATAGTGGACATTGCTGCTGTTGTGATAGAGATGAATGGGGACTTCTGAGGCTCTTCATTGGACACGACAACAACAACAATACAGCATATACACCCAAGATAGTGGACTTTGCTGCGGCTGTGATAGAGATGCATGGAGACATCTGAGGTTCTTCATTGGAAACGATAACAACAACAACAACTGATCATGTCTGGTGCTGATTCACAAGAATACCCACTATAGACTCATCTTTCCAGCTCACACGTGGTGATGTACCTTGTTTGATTTCTCTGAATTCTTACATCTGTCATCCCCCTTCCTCCATTTCCGTAGAGCAATTAATTTGAGGCAAGGCGCCTCGTGTAATTGTCCGCTTCCTCATTACCAAACGTCATTAACTCTCATTAGTCTGACTTTCTTGCAGCTTTGGGATTGAAATTCTTTGCACTGCATCTATACTGTCTTAAAGACAAAAACGCGCCATCTATATTCAAAAATAGAAATTACAGAGTGTCACTCGAGAGTTTTTCACTATTTAAAATTAACGCTTTTAGCTGCCGCTTCATTTAACTGCTTCCCTAACATGTGATACCTTCTTTTTTATTTATATGAAAAATAGACACTTCGGCCAGTTGGAGTTTTTTATTTTCTCAACGTTTCGACAAATATATTTTGTCTTCGTCAGGAGAAGTAAATAAAAATAAAGCATTTGGCAAGGCGTTAAAAATTGTTCTGAGGTTTGCAAGGGCGTTCTCACGTGATTTTTCGAATTTAGTACAACATCTAAAGCGCGAGTCAAAAAAACAAACATTAAACTCGTCAAAGACTATGATCTTGGAAATAAAAATATATAATAAAAAAATTATAATAAATTAAGTAAAAATAAATGAATAAAGTAATATAATAATAATAATTCTTTTAAATTATTCATTTGACCTTACACACATTGTATAATTATTTACATAAAATGATAATAAGTATACCAGAGAGAATGTATACAGAGTTATACTCGTAGATTATATTTGAGTCGCCAAATTTAAGTCGAGCTCTTTTTCTTCATCATATTCATTATTAAAATCAACATTTTTCCATAGGTTGTATATGACGTATTTAGTAATATCATTATTACATTAATTGCTTCTTTATTTTGAAGCAGATGAAGTGTTGTAGAACGACATTTGAAAATTATCCCGCATGTGTTTCTTTTGAACGAAAAATCGAAATTTATTTCAAGGAGAAATAACGACTATTTCCAACCTTAGGGATAAGTATGAAAGGATGAAATGTGAAGAGTAATGATAAACCGAAAAATAAAGTGTCCAGGGATGGGAATCGAACCCACAGTGTTCCGCTTACCGGGCAGATGCCATGTCCACTAGGCTAGGAAGTGTTCTATCATGATTTACTATCGTTTCGTTATTGTTTTCTTTGTTTTCGCTCTTTCCTACTCTGTTCTTAATTAAGTTTTACAAATGTTAGACAAACAAATATACGGCTATATATAGAGTTATCTATTTTTAAAATATGAAGCCAATATTTCAAAGTTAATTTGACTACAGTAACCTCAATAGACATTCATCCACATTCCATTATCAGTAAAAAACCTGATGTGAACTTAGGTAGGTTTAAGAGACGTCGATGGAAAATATCCTGAGTTGTTTGACTGTTGGTTATTGGCCAAACTTGGTGCCACATACAGAAATGTAGATTGTATCATCGATGCAAAATTTCATGACAGATGTGATCTAGTCATTATGTTCCAAGCCGAATTTATATTTAGTATCTAGTGATTCATTTGTAAAATATTGAGAAAAATGACTAATTAATTATGAAAAAGGCATCTCCTTATCGTGCAACTTAAAGTTGCTGATGGGGCTTGCGCCATTTATCGGAATAAATATCAACTATTCTCGTTGATTTTTAATTTTTCCAGAATTGGCCAAATACCTATTCTTGATTAATTAAGAAAAGCTAACCACGGACGCGTTTCGGGCTGTTGGCCCTCATCAGCGTGGTGCAAGCTGTACCTCAACGACCAAAAAACTGGTCATTAAGGCATCCTGAAAAATCATTAAACGGGTAGTTTTAGTCATGGTTATCTTTTATTTATTAATCAAGAATGGGTATTAGGCCAATTCTGGAATAATTAAAAATTAACAAGAATAGTTGATATTTATTCCGATAGATGGCGCAAGCCATCAACAACTTTCAGTTGCACGATAAGGAGATGCCTTTTTCATAATTTATGCACCTTATCACAGTACAATATCACATTTGTGCTATTTTTTCACATGACTAATTAAGTTAGATAAAATTGATGAGTCACCCAAATATAAATACTTATAATACAATATAATGCGGCTATGATTATAGAACGATATTTAACAAGTTTACCTCAAATATTTCTTTTTACAGAACGAAAAATCGTAATTTTAATTATCTAAGGAGAAATAACGACTATTTCTATCTTTAGGGAAGAAGTATGAAAGAATTAATTGTGAAGGGTAATGATGAACAGAAAAATAAAAATTCCCATCCCTGGACACTTTTATTCTTCCGTTCATCATTATTCTTCACAATTCATCCTTTCATACTTCATCCCTAAGGATAGGAATAGTTGTTATTTACTCCTTAATTAATTAAAAAATTAAGATTTTTCGTTCTGAAAAAAATAAACATTTGCGGTAAACTTGTTGAATGTCGTTTTATTTTTATACTTAGTTTAGATGGACAGGGGATGATTTTCTCTAACCTATTGTCAGAGCGAGCCAAGCAACCTCAATTTCAAAAAATTATTAATTTAAATTTATTTTGATTCAAAGTAAGACAGTTGTTTTCAAAGTATTTTTAGAGTAAATACATTTTTCTTTCAGCTTAATCTTTGATTCTCCCAGAATTACAGAATCATCTGGGTAAAGAGGCAGATGTACAGTTCCGAAGTTCGGCAAATAAATCCTAGATAAACCAAGATAACCAAACATAAAGATCAGACAATTTAAAACAAGGATAAATATTTTGAAGATAGAAGTTGCCTGTCCGATATTCATATTTCTTTAAAAATAGACAATTCACCTAGTTAAAGTTTTATTTTCTTAACGTTTCAACAAAATTCTCTTGTCTTCGTCAGGAAAAATAAAAATAAATCATATGGCAAGACGTTAAAAATTGTTCTAATTATTTTTTAACGCCTTGCCAAATGCTTTATTTTTATTTCTCCCGACGAAGCCAAAAGATTTTTGTTGAAACGTTGAGAAAATAAAACTTTAACTGGCCGAAGTATCTATTTTTTAAGGATAAATAAGTACAAAGGTGAAAGAGGTTGTAACACTACTGCTTATATCTTGATAGATTCTGTGAGCCAGCCGGCCATTCACACAACTGTCATTTGTATATTGAAATTTTGAACAAGATTGATAAAGGGGCTAACTTAATCCGATAACGGCTAGTTTGCGCCATAAGAGAGATCATGGAACAAAATCGAAGACAATTGACAATTAAAATAATTTTATTGACATCTTGTCAATACATGCAAAGTGCACAGTCTGCACTATTTAAAAAAAAAAGATAATATGGATTATATACACTATGTACAATGAACATGGCGCCTCTGCCAGCGCTGCAGAGTTTGGTGGAGAATCTACAGTGGGTCTCCAGCGACACCACGCATTTCGTGGTCTACGAAGAATACGTAGATCGCGTACTTCGCCGCTGAGGTGATGGCGTGGTCCTCGAGACCAACAAAATCGAAGATATTTCTTAGATCAATAAAAATACATACAACTTTATCTTTTTACGATTCCGTGTCAATTGGATAGGAGTCATAAAAGAAAAGAATCAAGGTAATAGTATACTTTCCTGAAAAAAAAAAAAAACTGAGTTCATCACTAATCCATCCATTTTGGAGCCTACTTATTTGATAAAGTGTTTATTAATACAAAGCAAAAACGCGCCATCTATATATAACGAATGAAGACATTAAGACGCGATTATTTCTTTCATAAATAAATCAAACTTCTACTGTCCTTACTGCAATGAAAAAAATATATATTGGGAAGGCTTGGTTCATTAGTGGTTAAACCTCCCAGCGGTTTCTCCAATTTAATCCACCATAGCTCTAATACTGTATTGTATCATTCTGCTTTTCTATGCTACTGAGGACAGTAGAAGTTTGATTTATTTGTAAAAGAAACATTGGCGTATTAAAGTGTTTATTATTGACGTATTGTGTTTTGAGGTATTACTTATCATAGAAATTTCTCCTATAATTTCAGGGTTTATTCGAATAAACGTTTTTGAAGATAGGTTAGTTAACTGTCTGGAACCACTAGATGGGTATTGTCCAGGTTTCTAGAACTTTAACATAAAAAAAGTAAATATTACATTATATTACAATATGATATTGTAAATAGCTCTCAAAAAAGTATTGTTTAGGTAAAGCTCTATTTGATAACTTATCAGCGTTCGATGCTTTATTTCCTTCGGGTGAAAAATTATAGGAGTCAAGATAATAAGCAAAACACGATGGTGTTTATCCAATTTAAATATCTGAAAAAATCATAGAATCATCGACGGTGTAAAATTAAAGATAAAAGAATTTTAGAGATTCTATAACAATTGATGAATATATTAATTGGGCCTTAACAAATGGCAGAAATCCAAATTCAAGAATCCTGAAAGTCAAGAAAATCTGGGTTTGGGCTGAAATTATGGACGACAACTAGGCCAACTTCGAGCAAAGGAAGTATTCGCTTTCTTCGACGAAGGAACGCCGACTTCTTCCTGGTCCATCACGCCAAGCCAACATCACTAAAGGCTGCGACATTACAGCTTTAAGACAAAATCGAGAAATTTAAGGCTACCAAGAAATATCGAACAAGCCTGAGGAAACCTGCAGCTGGATCCGGATGCTGTATAAGTTTTGTCTCTGGAGTTAATTCCGTTGGTCTCTAACAAGGTCCTAGAGAACAAATTAGGTAAAAGCTGCGTAATGCAGCTTGGAAAGAATTCCGGGCAGGTCTTGGTTGGCCTGGAGCTGCCTGAGAAGGCGGAAACAGTAACCGAAGATGGTCTGTTGATAAACGGAACTCTTCTCTAGCCCTTTCATATCAAATGAAAACCGAAAAATAAAATCACCATCAGTGGAATGCCATACTTCATCCTAGACCCGGACATCATCCAGACCTTAGAACCTTACTAATAGGTGTTTCACCCCCTCACTCCTGATGTTAACTCTTCCGGGGGCTATACCTAGATGGACCTGAAGAAAACGGCATTCATCCTTATGATTGATTGAAAGAAAATCACGGACCTTTCAAAAAATATCAGGGCGCTTGCTAAGGGTGACTCTGCCTTGGTCTATTTGAAGTACGGAATTCGCTACTCCAAATGCTACCGAATAGGTCACAAGGGGATGAAGCGTGCCCAGATTATCAGGACGGCAAGCACTTCCCAGCCCTCAAGCCAAAAGAGCACTTTTAAAGGAACGGCGTCTGTTCTTGATATCACTGCAGCATAACATCATCACCTGTAGCATTCAGACACTTTGCGCCAAAGGATTCCCTGGCACAGACGTTTTACATACCTTAAGTCCAAGACGCCGTAATTCCTGAGGCTGTAACTATTATCAGTGCTCTAGAAACATCAAGCCATACAGACCCAATTGAAAAAAAAGACGGAAACTCCAGCTGTTCCAACAGCAAGAATAGATCCAGGACCTTGACGCAAAAGACAGGATCAATGGCTCAAAAGCAGCTAGATACTCTCCTCGAGCACCTGCCAAGCTCCCTCTTCGGAGAGGTTGAACTTTTAAGAATGAAGGAAGAAGAGATAAAGAAGGCCATCACCTCCTTTATAAGCTAAGGCAGCTCGTGTAAAAGCTCATATATATATTGAATGAATAATTAATTAAGAGATTTGATTGTTTCAAACCAACCCTTTATAAAAAGGCTCGCTAACATCAGAACAAGAACAAAGCGCTCGCAAGAGCTATCGCCTTGCGTCGATTAATGTTTGCGGCATTGCCGCTCGGCACAAGAACATTGAGGTGCGCTGCTTGAACAGCATGCATTGGATATCGTCTTTGTACAGGAAACGAGTGTTAAGACTCTGAACAGCGCCGAAGATCCCTGCCTTGGAACTCTTCAACAATCAAGCCAGCAGCTGTCGCCAGGGGATCCTGCTTCACCTGCATCTTCGCGCCAGATGTTAATGTCCTTGGACAACAGGTTCTATAACCGGGAAAGATCACCGCCTTCAAGTCACTATCCGGGATCTACGATCGACGTTCTTCGACTGCTACCTATCTCTTGCTCCTCACCATCGGCTCCAGCAGTTGCAGGTCATCACGGCTACTATCATTAACGATAGCGCATAGGTTCTCGGTGACC